TCATCACCTCCTGGTACTCCTTGAGCAGGCAGGCCATGTCCTGCTTGGCCTTCTTCAAGGCTTCCTCCAGCCCCGCCAGCTTGCCCTGGGCATCTTTGAGGGCCACCTCGCCCTGCTGCTCCGCCTGGGTCACTGCGGCCTCCAGCTTGGAGTTCTAAGGGCCCAGGAGAGAACAAGGTGAGTTATGGTCCCTGGGTCTCTGTGTCCATTTCCTGGATGTGTCCAGTCTCTCCACCCAGATGAGATCACCCCAGGAACAGACCTCTCCCCTTCATCAACTGGGGCTCCCTGAGGGGCCATAACCTAGGACTCAAGTCATACAAATGGGTTGCAGAGTGAATGGTGAGATCTAGCTGGGCACACACACTGCCTGTGGGATCCTGGATGGGCCTCAAAAAATCCTACCTGGGACTTGGCATTTTCAATCTCAGCTGTCAGCCTCTGGATCAGGCGGTTGAGCTCATTGATCTCCTCCTTGGTGCGGCGCAGGGTCTCCCCATGTCGGATCACCGTGGCCTTTATCTCCTCACACTGGGAGAGGAAGCAGAGAGGCTCATGAAACTCAGGATGGGACCTCCCACACATTCAGGACAATGTAGATGATTTACAGGTTGTCCAGTGCTCAGCCTGTGCAACCATACACTGTAGCCCTGCCTTCCTACCCCATTGAGATGTCAATATTTTATCTACCATCCCTAAGGATCAGAATCCCCAGACAAAGGTATCCTTTTTTAATATACACCTTGAATCCTTCTCAGCACCACGTCTAGGAGGCAGGTGTCCTGGACCACTCACCTTGCTGCGGTACCAGTTCTCAGCCTCGGCCCGACTGCGGCTGGCGATTTCATCATAGTGAGCCTTGATCTCGGCGACAATGCTGTCCATGTTTAGGTACCGGCTATTATCCATCTTGACGATAACTGAGGTGTCTGAGATGTGGGCTTGCATGACTCTCAACTCCTGTGGAGCCAAGAGTCATTCACATTACATACACCATCCAGAGCCAAGTAGAACAGAGTTCACATTCCACCTTTATACACACACACACACAAGACCACAATTTCCAAAACCCTCACGCCTTCAGGCACCCCTGTCTATTTCCTCTGTACACAGGCTGGCCTGGGAATCAGGAGGGCTGAATAATGTCCTCTCTGCTGGTACTCACCTCTTCATACAGGGTCTTCAGGAAGCCCACCTCCTCTACCAGGCTGTGTGCATTGGCCTCCAGATCTCCCTTGCGCACATAGAGACAGTTAACCTCCTGGAGATAAAAACACACAGCAGTCCCTGGTCATTGCAGAGGATTTCCAGGGGGGCTCCACTTCTCCCAACCCCATCCCCAGCCCTGCAAAGCAAGTCATATGCATAGATCAGGAAGTCAAGAATAAGGGAACTAAGGTCTCCCACCAACTCTAGCAAAATGTCCTGTGTGACTTTAGAAAGTCCTTCCATCTCTCTGGGCCACTCTATAAAGGAAGAGCCAGAGAATTCCTGCCCTGTAGATCTCCTAGAGTGTGAGAAGGGAAATGCCCTTCTATCGGTTGGAATAAAATATAAGTTTATTAACTGAACAAGGGCATACTGATGCCCTGAGGGCTACCAGACTCCCAGGTGACTATCCCACAAAGCAGACCTACTCACCTGCTTGATTTTGACAAGCTCATTCTCTGCTGTGGTCCTCAGGGTGACCTCCTCTTCATACCTCCACAAGGTAAGGTAATGTGAAACAAGAGATTTAGCTAGTAATGGAAAGGAGGGCTCAACCTGACCCATCACATCCACCCCCCAGGATATCTGAAACATCCCTCTCACCCACATCTTAATTACACATTTCTCTGAGACATGATTCACTTTAAAGATATTGGTTTTGTTATTACTCAAGTATAATAAACTGCCTGGAAAGGTGGATGGAACTAGTAACTTGAACCAGTGATTATGAACAGTGGAGGAGACATAGTGTCATTTTTTGTACCTCCAGTACCTAGCACAGTAAAGCAAAACAGTAAGTGTTCAGAACAGGCTTATGGGACGAGTGGATGGATGGATGGATGGATGGATGGATGAACAGGGATATTGTCCCTATCTTAAGAAGTTCATAATGCAATATAAAAAGGTTCTTTGCTGACATTTCAGCTTCTCTTCATGTGTCTTCCTGTCACTGCCTTTAAAGCTGACAAAAGTAAAAAGTGAGTTAATGAAGAAAGAAGTTTCTAAGACCAGTGTGCTCAGTGGGTCCCCAGCTGTCGTATCATGTCAACCCTTCTGAGAGAAGTGGACCTTCCCAAATGCACTTACTTCTTCTTGTAGCCCTCCAGCACCTCCTGCACGTGGTTGAGCTCTGAGGACAGCCTCCCGCTGTCGGCCTCCACGCGCTCAGCCTCCCGCCTCAGCGTCTCGATGTAGCCATTGAACAGGGGCTCCAGGTTGCTCTCGCAGCAGCGCTGGTTCTGGTAGAACTGCCACTTGGTCTCCAGCAGCTTGTTCTGCTGCTCCAGGAAGCGCACCTGCCACCCAGAGGAATAGTCACCCAGATAGCCATAATCCCAGCATCCTGCAGGATCCACCCCCCAAAACTTCTGCCAATTCCTTTCCCCCATCCCACCCCAACACACACATGAGGATCTCTGTCACTGAGATGGCTGTAGATCTGAGTCCACGTACCCATGATCAAGTGGAAAAGTCCTTTCTCATGCCTGGCTTCACTGTGCCAGGGATCAGAATCCCCTCCCAAATGACCAAGCTTTCCCCTGGGAAACCTTCCCCAGTTAGGTCTCCTGCTGGCCCATTCTTGTCTGAAGTGAACATTAAAGGGGAAGCCTCAGCTGGCCCCAGGGTTCAATGTGAGAGTGTGTGAGTGAGTGAGTGTCAGAGGGGGATGCGGAGAGAGAGTGGGGGCGGGGGACAACTAAGCATTCCAGGCAGCATTATCCCCAAAGATGACCCTCTAGTCCTATTTCTATTTCTTTTTTTCTTCTGTTTCTATTTCTGATGCAAATTTCATATGTGTCCCATGGGGGATGGGGGTCTGTGTCGCCTCCCTCTGACATGTAGTTCCAAGCCCATTCTTGTCTCTCTTGTACATTATAACAGTGCTGTCATACCAGGAGTCCCTGCACTATGCTCACATCTCTCTGGTCTGTCTGTGTCCTGGAAGTGTGTCCATCTCCTCCATCAGACCCGGGGTTCATCTGGTCCACATCTCTCCTGCCCCCTGACTAACCCTTCAGTGCCTACCCAGGAAAGAAGGTTCAGGAAAGGTGTGATCAAGGACACCCACCTTATCAATGAAGGCAGCAAACTTGCTGTTGAGGCTCTTGATCTGCTCCTTCTCCTGGTGCTTTATGCGCTGTGTATTGGGGTCGATCTCCAGGTTGAGGGGCGTGAGGAGGCTCTGGTTGACTGACACAGAAGTGATGCAGGGAGGGCTGGGGCCACCAGAGCGATACCCAAAGCTGCGGCTGCTGGAACCAGCACGGAAGCCCCCACAGACACTGCGACTGCTGAAGCCCCCGGTGAGACCTCGGTAGCAGGAGATGCCGCGGTAAGGAGCAGCCGTGATGCAGCAGCGGCTGGGCCTGGGCCCGCAGGCCGAGGTGCAGCTGAAGGTGCGACCAGAACCGTACTTGTGAGTGGTCACACAGGAGCTGGAATTGTGGACTCCACTACGGGAGCTAAAGCAAGCTGATCCACAGGTCATAGTGGCTCAAGGCAGGAGGAGATGAAGCCAGAGGAAGAGGAGAAGTGTTCTGAGCTCTCCCTCACTGTCTGTGCCTTTTATAAACCCAGAAACCTGGCACTGTCTGCGTCACCACATGGAGTAACCTTCTTGTCACCTTTATGGGCTTGGGGAATTTCTCAGTCATTTCTCCTCTCCTGGGATAATATCATCAAGATGGGGCTTTGGAAAATCCTACACTCAGGCAACTCTGAAGCCTTGGCAGAATTTTTTCCATAGTTCAAGGCCTGAGGGTGCCAAGGAGCCTAGGTCAACCAAGGTCTGGGGACTCTGCATTTTGCGAGATAATTGAGGAGAGGAAGGGAAGCCGGGTTGGGATGATGGTTTTCAGGTCAGCTGGACTCATAACCTCCGACTTTTAGTTTGGGTCACAAGATGCACTAAGACAAGGGACAAAGGGTGGGCCTGCCTGGAATGGGAAGATTGGAGTGGACCTTGGCAGCTTTGAGAGCAAGAGCCTTCCAGGGGCTTCACAGGTAGGGTCTTGGGGGCCAAATCTTCAGGGCAACCGATGACACCTAACCCTTGGCATGGCCAGAAGGAGATTGTGTTTACTCCCACCAAGACATGGAAAAGCCAATCACATAACCAAAAAAAGTATTTGTTCAGCCACTTCATGCTGGGGGATCCATGAAGTGGGTAGATGTGTGTGAGCAGTGTAGTGTGAGAGTTCAGTATCTGAATCCCTAAAACCCCCTCTGTCCATCCACCTCCATTCCTCTTTGTGGGCCTTCAAGATTCCTCACCCATACCTAACAGAGTGTCTCCCTCAACTAGACCTTAAGTACAAAGCCACACTCCCCCAGACAGTCTCTTTCAAAGGCCTCCCTGTTTTCTGGGGCATTTTCAGAAGAGCTTCTCCAATAAACTCTGAGCCTGGACTGAGTGGTGGGACCTGGGATCCATTCCAAGAAACTTCAATGGGCAGGAGGCCCCAGCTCCCAGACCTGGAAGACAAGGCAGGCCCAGGGTGGGGGTGAGGGGAGTGGGGAGGCCGGGATGGTTGGAAGGGACGGTACCTGAGGCAACCAATGAGCCATAGAGGGGAAATGATAACAACAATAATAACAGCTGATATTTATTGACCACTTACTATGCACCAGGCATTGTATTAATGCTTTACATATACACTCACTTTATCCATATCACATCCCCAGATAAGTTTTATTATCTTCATTCTAGATACAAAGGAAACTAAGGCTCAGAGAAGTTATGGAATTTTCACCCAGATTGCAAGGTGCAGAGCCCAGGCTTGAACCCAGGTATGTCTGATTCCAGAAACACTTTGACCGTTATTCCATGGAGAAAAAAGAAGTGTGTCTCTGAAATGGGCATGCTGATGTTCAAGATGTTTCATAAGGATGCTGTGCGTTACCAAAAGTAGGCACACACACCCCCTCCATGTACCATCCCCACATCCCATTTGCTTACACATGGTGAATATGGCCTTCTCCCGGTCAACTACCTCTCACACTCAGCTTGACAGTCTAAGCCCATCTTACCCACCCACCATATTCACCATTCCCCTGCCTCCTTTCCCCCTAACCACATCCATCCCCTGTTTTCCGACCAAAGTGGACTCGCTGCCAGCTGTTCCTCCCACATCCTCTGGCCTCCCTTGCTTTGTGTCTTTGCCTACACGGTTCCCTCTGCCTGAACCCTCCTCCCATTTCTCTTCTCTGTACATCCAGCTCTTCAGTGTTCTTCATCCCCAACCAAGCTGTCATTTCCTGCAAGACCATGCCCTGACCTCTGGCCCCAAGGCCCTGGATGCTGACTCTCCCACCGAGTACCCTGGCATTAAAGCCAGACCTCCTGCAACCTTATATTAAAGTCCTTTGTGTGTGCCTGCCCAGCGTGGGGACTGCAGACTCCTTCCAACTCTGAGCCTGGCTCCCGTTGGGTACCTATTTGCTCCCTGCCTTGAATCGGCTCCTGGGGCCTATGGTGGGGGTAGAGACACAACACCAAGATAGAGAGACACGACACCAAGATAAAGAGCTAGCTTTCCATCAGTTGACTGGTGGGTTGGAGATAAAGGGGACAAGGGAACAATTTCTAGAAGATTTGGCTAAAATGGAGCAGCCTCCCTCCTCCTCATCACTCTGACCACCAACCCTCTTTATGGGGAAGTGTGTCCTTGAATGTATCTAACATTGGAGCTGGGTCAGGAATTGGTACTGACACTTGGGGGACCACTGTGCTTTAGTCGTCAAACCTGTCATTTCCATCCTTCTGGTTACGTTAGAGAGCACAACTCCGCCTTCAGCCCTCTGGTCTCTTGGAACTTTAAATGCACTTAATTATCAGTGTGAACAAAAGCTGATTATCAACCTCCTCACTGATTGTGATAGCACAGAAAATCTGCTCCATCCATCCACCAAAATGCAGAAGGCGATCCAAGCAAGCATCACGAAAGTGCTTCTGTAAGTCTAATTTAAATCTTTAAATTAAGGAAATTAAATACTTTGGGGTAAGTCCATTTCCTCTTGTGAGGGAGATACCAAGGAAAAACTTCTTCAATACCAATTTATTCCCTAAAAAAAATTGGAGTAGAGGGCTTCCCAGGTGGCTCAGTGGTAAAGAATCCATCTGCCAATGCACAGGTTCAGTCCCTGGTCTGGAAAGATCCCACATGCAGAGCAACTAAGCCCATGTGTCACAAACTACTGAGCCCACTTGCTACAGCTCGAGAGTAGCCCCATCTCTCCACAACTAGACAAAAATCCGCACAGTGACGAAGACACAGCAGAGCCAAAAATAAATAATTTTTTAAAGAAGAAAGAAAACTGGAGTAGAAATTCATAATCCTGAAACCATTAGTCACACAGCTGGAGCTGGGAGCAGAAGCGCAGACACTGGAGGTGGGCTCCGTCTTCTACAGAGGATGGCACGAAGGTTACACTGAAACCCCTGCAAAATCAAAGCTGGACCAAAGGGATCCAGGTCCGCAAGAGAATTGGGAAAGACAGCAAAGGGGGCAGTGAGGCACTCCCTAGAAATAGGACACCAGGCAGCCAAAGCCAGGTATGGTTGGCCAGGGTGACCTCTGGTATTCCAGGATTTGATTACCCCTTGCATAATAACAAGTCATATTTAAAAGCAAAGGAAGCTAAAGATGATTTGTGTGCTTCTCTTTAATGCTAGCTGCTGAGTTCACACTCTGGTTTCCTCTGTCCATAATTGGACACATAATTAACTACTATTACGATGGCTTGTAGCCTTCTAGGGTTGGTGGCCATGAGCAAGCATCAGTTGAGGAGAAGGCTTTGGAACAGGCTGATTTCTCTAAGACCCCAAAACCTAGCAGTCTGGGCTCCTGCCTCCATGAGGACTTAATTCTCATTCAGTCCTGAAGACTCAGACCCTTGAGTCTTGGCGGAGGGCTGGGAGCCTCCTTCCAGATTCTGACTTTGCCCCTTGATGGACCCTTCTGTGCTTTACCTTGTTTTTTTAATCATTATTTTTATTTGTTTCTGGCTGTGCTGGGTCCTTGTTGCTGTGAGGGACTTTCTCTAATTGTGGAGAGTGGGGGCTACTCTCTAGTTGCAGCAAGTAAGCTCAGTAGTTGTGGCTCTCAGGCTCTAGAGCACAGATTCAACAGTTGTGGCGCACAGGCTTAGTTGCCCCATGGCATGTGGGATCTTCCCCGACCAGAGATCAAACCCGTGTCTCCTGCATTGGCAGGCAGGTTCTTTACCACTGAGCCACCAGGGAAGACCCTGTGCTTAATCTTAAATAAGCCACTGGTTCACTCTGAGTTCACCTTCCTAATCAAGTAAATGGGCACAGTAATTCTGACCTCAGAAGAATGCCCTGTTGGTTAGATGAAATAATGCAGTATAAATTCCTCACACGTTGTATGTGTGTGTGTACTTAGTCGCTTCAATCATCTCCTGCTCTTTCCAACCTCATGGACTGTAGCCCACCAGGCTCCTCTGTCCATGGGATTCTCCAAGCAAGAATACTGAAGTGGGTTGCCATGCCTTCCTCCAGGGGCTCTTCCCAACCCAGGGATTGAACTCGATTCTGTTGCGTCTCCTGCATTCCAGGCAGATTCTTTAACTGCTGAACCACACAGGAAGCCCACACATGGTAGGTACTCCATAAATGCAAACTCCCTTTCTCCTTGCCAGTAGAGTGGAGAGAGGTATGAGGGGTGGGAGTGGAGGATCCAACCTTATTAGGTGAAGGGCTATGAGCTGAGTTCTGACAAAGAGAGGAGAGAGAGTTTTTGTCCCAGGGGAAACAGGATGAATGGCAAATTAATAATAGAATAAACAGAACAACCAAACAAACAAACAATTTATAGAGCTCTTATTAAGAGCTAAGTAGGGCCCTAAATATACCCTGTCCATTGTGCTGCCGCAGGTGCTGTTAGGATCCCTATTTTGCACATGAGGAAGCTGAGGTTCAGAAAGGTTATTCACCTGTCCCAGATCATGACAAGAATTTTCAGAACTGACCTCTAAGATGCCTCTCCTTCCCATTATACAGAGCGAAGTAAGCCAGAAAGATAAAGACCATTACAGTATACTAACACATATATATGGAATTTAGAAAGATGGCAACGATAACCCTATATGCAAAACAGAAAAAGAGACTCAGATGTATAGAACAGACTTGTGGACTCTGGGAGAAGGCGAGGGTGGGAATGTTTCAAGAGAACAGCATCGAAACATGTATACTATCTAGGGTGAAACAGATCACCAGCCTAGGTTGGGTGCATGAGACAAGTACTCCGGCCTGGTGCACTGGCAAGACCCAGAGGGATCAGGTGGAGAGGGAGGTGGGAGGGGGGATCAGGATGGGGAATACATGTAAATCCATGGCTAATTCATTTCAATGTATGACAAAAACCACTGCAATGATGTAAAGTAATTAGCCTCCAACTAATAAAAATAAATGGAAAAAAAAAATAAGATGCCTCTCCTTCAACACACACACACACACACACACCTCGCAGAGCCACCCAGGCAACTAAGACCAAAGCTTCCCAGCCTGCAGGGCGGTGGCGCAGGCTGGTGGGGCCAGGGGTGCCTAGCTGCCCAGTTTGGGACTAGAACCAATGCCCCTGGGTTCCCGGCCCCGTCCCGGCCTAGGGCCGCGGCTGCCCGGCCCCAAGCCGGCAGCGCACGGGCCGGCGAAGCTGAGCAGGCGCTACCTGGCCCCATAAAGCGCGCGCGGGTGGGAGGCGAACGCCGTTTTATGGAGGCAGTCGGGAGGCCTGGTTCACTTTAATTCCAGCTCGCAGAGGCGCGCAGCCCGACCTCCAAGCTCATAAACGAGTGGACCGCGCGCTCCCCTACTCCGGGCCGCGATATAAGGCACATGGTGGGCTTCTGGGTCCAGCTGCACTCTACCACCGCCGCTCGCCGCCACCGCACCATGTTCTGCCTCTCATCGCGCGTCTGCATCCCCGGCGGGGTCCAAGCCTTCAGCTGCGTCTCCGCCTGCGGACCTCGGCCCGGCCGCTGCTGCATCACGGCCGCCCCCTACCGCGGCATCTCCTGCTACCGCGGCCTCACCGGGGGCTTGGCAGCCGAAGCGTCTGTGAGGGCTTCCGCGCCCGGTCCTGCGACCGCAGCTTCTGGTACCGCTCCGGCGGCGTGGCAGGCCCCAGCCCTCCGTGCATCACCACCGTGTCAGTCAATGAGAGCCTCCTCAAGCCCCTCAACCTGGAGATCGACCCCAATGCGCAGTGCGTCAAGCAAGAGGAGAAGGAGCAGATCAAGTGTCTCAACAACAGGTTTGCTGCCTTCATCGACAAGGTGGGTGTCCTTGATCACACCCTTCCTGAATCTTCCCTTCCTGGGTGGGCACGCAAGGGTTAGCCAGGTGGGCAGGAGAGATGTGGATCAGGTGAGCCCCCAGGCTGATGGAGGAGATGGACACACTTCCAGGGCACATACAGACCAGAGAACTGAGTCTAGAGCAGGGGCTCCTGATTAGAGCACTGTTACTATATACAACCTCTGTCCAGACAGGCGGGGTCCCCACAGACAAGATCCACCCTTCCTGAACCTGGAAGTCCTGGCAGGACCTGAGAATTTACAGGCCAGTCTCTCCTGGAAATTCATTCCTGGTGGCTCAGTGGTGAAGAATTCGTCTGCAATGCAGAAGACCCTGGTTCAATCCCTGGGTGGGCAAGATCCCCTGAAGTAGGAAATGGCAACCCACTCCAATATTCTCGCCTGGAGAGCAAGAATACACAGAAGAACTATACCAAAAAGATCTTAATGACCTAGATAACCACGATGGTGTGATCACTCACCTAGAGCCAGATATCCTGGAGTCCAAAGTCAAGTGGGCCTTAGGAAGCATCACTAAGAACAAAGCTAGTGGAGGTGATGGAATTCCAGCTGAGCTATTTCAAACCCTAAAAGATGATGCTGTGAAAGTGCTGCACTCGATATGCCAACAAATTTGGAAAACTCAGCAGTGGCCACAGGACTGGAAAAGTTCAGTTTTCATTCCAATCCAGAAGAAAGGCAATGCCAAAGAATGTTCCAACTACCATACAATTGCACTCATCTCACACACTAGCAAAGTAATGCTCAAAATTCTCCAAGCAAGGTTTCAACAGTATGTGAACCGAGAACTTCCAGATGTTCAAGCTGGATTTAGAAAAGGCAGAGGAACCAGAGATCAAATTGCCAACATCTTTTGGATCATTGAAAAAGAAAGAGAATTCCAGAAAAACATCTACTTCTGCTTTATTGACTACACCAAAGTCTTTCACTGTGTGGATCACAACAAACTTTGGAAAATTCTTCAAGAGATGGGAGTACCAGACTACTTTGCCTGTCTTCTGAAAAACTTGTATGTGGATCAAGAAGCAAAAGTTAGAACTGGACATGGAACAACAGACTGGTTCCAAATTGGGAAAGGAGTGTGTCAAGGCTGTATAATGTCACATGCTTATTTAACTTATATGCAGAGTACATCATGCAAAATGCCAGGCTGGATGAAGCACAAGCTGGAATCAAGATTACAGGGAGAAAAATCAATAACCTGAGATATGTAGATGGCACCACCCTTATGGCAGAAAGCAAAGAAGAACTGAAGAGCCTCTTGATGAAAGTGAAAGAGGAGAGTGGAAAAAGTTGGCTTAAAACTCAACATTCAGAAAACTAAGATCATGGCATCCGGTCCCATCACTTCATGACAAGAAGATGGGGAAACAATGGAAACAGTGAGAGACTTAATTTTCTTGGGCTCCAAAATCACTGCAGATGGTGACTGCAGCCATGAAATTAAAAGTCGCTTGCTCCTTGGAAGAAAAGCTATGACCAAGCTAGACAGCATATTACAAAGCAGAGACATTACTTTACCAACAAAGTTTCATGTAGTCAAAGCTATGGTTTTTCCAGTAGTCATGTATGGATGTGAGAGTTGGACTATAAAGTTGAGCACCACAGAATTGATGCTTTTGAACTTTGGTGTTGGAGAAGACTCTTGAGAGTCCCTTGGACTGCAAGGAGCTCAAACCAGTCAATCCTAAAGGAAATCAGTCCTGAATATTCATTGGAAGGACTGATGCTGAAACTGAAGCTCCAATACTTTGGTACCTGATGCGAAGAACTGACTCATTGGAAAAGACCCTGATGCTGGGAAAGATTGAAGGCAGGAGTACAAGAGGACGACAGAGGATGAGATGGTTGATGGCATCACCGACTCGATGGACTTGAGTTTGAGCAAGCTTCAGGAGTTGGTGATGGACAGAGAGGCCTGGCGTGCTGCAGTTCATGGGGTTGCAAAGAGTCAGACACCACTGAGCAACTGAACTGAACACTCCTGGAAATGGGGAATGAGGACTGTTGATATTTTATGTGATAGTTTTAAATGTTCCATTGAAGCATTAAATAACATCGAGACACCTGATGAGAAAATTCATCTCTTTAATTTATTAATTTAATTTATTTAATTTGATCCTTAAGATCAAATGGGGGAAATCTCATTAGGTATTAATATGTCTTTAATATTCCTCTAATACTTGCTACCCTCACGCTTTTAATGAAAGAGAGCAAGCCTCAGCGTCAAAGCTGTCTGGAACAGCAGATGCAGCTAGAATTTCATGCTTTCTGTTTTCCTCTTATGTATGCGTAGTTTTACAGCTACGATGCTAATATAAAGTTACCCCTTTAAGCCCCTTTTAAGCGTTTAGTGAAATGCTAAACAAATCCATTTGTAGATAAATCATGAGTAAAACAGGCAAAATCCTGAAGTTGGCCTGTGAAGGGTTCATGTTTGAGAATCACTGCCACCAGAGTAGTCCTTTGAGTGCAATAGAGGAGAAAGGAGATGGGGAATTATGGCAGGACCGGCCCCAGCCCCCACCCACATTCCCTGAGAGTGGGTGGCAGAGCAGGAGTCCAAGCCTGGCTCTTCCAGGCTCTCCAGATCCCTGAGGCTAGAGAGTTCAAAGCTTGGGGCCCAGCTCCCCTACTCCTCTCAAGCGAGAGCTGGCCCACTTCAGCAGGCACTCTATCCTGAGTGTGCTGGAGCTCACAGCCAGGAAAGGTGGCCAGGGAGTGGAGCAGAAAGTGTCCTAGCCCAGGAGCAGGCAGCATGGGCTCTGTGTCCAGTTCTCCACTGATTCTCTCTGTGATGCTGGCCGATGGCGTCCCCTCTCAGCCGCAAAGCTCTGCTAGTTGCAGTGTGTGTGCTGGCCATGACTTTGAAAGGAAACGCAGGGATCAAGACAGGCAAGCAACTCACCACCATGGCTTGAGACCTGCCAGCTACAACCCCCTAAAATGATCCCACATGATATCAGCAGTCCCCTTTCCCCATATCTGGGAGCTCCACAGGGATTGCCTAGCTGCATTCATCGGGTTGGATGAAAGGATACCAGGTCTATAAAAGGCAAGGCAATGTCTCAAATCCAGCTAAAAAAAATCTGAGAAGGGGAAAACTGGAGACCAGGGAGCCTGGTCCTGTTTGCTGATGTCCTTTCTGGCGGCACAGTGATTGCTGCTGCCGCATCTTTCCAGTTTGAATGATTTCCAGCAGAGGTTTGCATGCTTTACTTCCCTACAGCCCCACCCTCCCTATTTTTGAAAATCATCCCCCCTTCACATTACCTGCCTGGCTTCTAGACACATAAGAGTGTGTGTTTCCTCACACAAGAATGTGTGTCTCCTCACACAAGAGTGTGTGTCAACCTCCACCAGGCCTCTTCAGACCCCAGCCATCCTACTTGGTGAGAAACTGCCCCCTCCAACCTCCCTCCCCAGTTAGGAAACCCTGCCCAGGCTAACCATCCATTCAAGCCCCAGGCTGGCCGCTGAGGACAGAGCTCCCCTGCACTGGTGAGGGTCAGAGCGAAAGGCTTTCCTCTTACCCTGACCCTCTCAACCCTCCTCTACACTCCTTTCCTCCAGGCAACCTTCCCACCCCAACCCAACCCAGCACAACCCATATGCCCTTGAGTGTCTCACTCACCCCAGCCAGGCCCAACTGGACAGACCCTCACTCAGATCCGAGCAAGCAATCAGGAAACAAGGAGTCTCTAGCTGCCTCCTAAGGCCAGGAGAGCCCAGCAAGGACGATGCCATCCACCCACCCTCTGCCTCTGCACACCTCGCTGTGAGCTCCAGTTCTCTCACTCTGCCTGCTCTTGCAGGAGAGCTGGGCTTATAGGCTCCTGTCACTGTTTCTCCCACCTCCACACCACACCAGGTGCGCTGCCTGGAGCAGCAGAACAAGCTGCTAGAGACCAAGCTGCAGTTGCACCAGGGCCATGAGTGCTGCGAGAGCAACCTGGAGGCTCTTCACGAGGGCTACATCCAAACGCTGAGGCGGGAGGCTGAGCATGTGGAGGCTGATGGCACGAGGCTGGCCTCACAGTCCAACCACATACTGGAGACACTGGAGGGCTACAAGAAGAAGTGAGTTCATCGGGGAGGAAGCTGTGGAGAAAGGAAATGGGGTGAGATCAAATAGGATAGATTTGGGTTAGACCCCTAGAAGAACTTTCCACTAGGAAGTAGAGAGTGGCAGAAAGCCTATGGGGAAATTATTTTCTTTTCCGAGATGGGAGAGGAAACATTGGCAAGTCTGTGCTTCTCCAGCCACCTCATCATTCTGTGTTTATTTTATTTTGATTTATCAAACATTTATGGAGCATTTATTCTATGTTCCAGGTGTTGTGTTGGGCCCTGAAGAGGGGTAAGGATAAGAAAGTCAAGAGGACAGGAAAGGGGTACACCTGAACTAGATCAGGGTGCCACCACCACCACCAGGGAATTAGCTTCAGGAACAGAAAGGAGGCCTGCAAAAATGTGCATGGCACCTACCCTACCTCTGAAACAGGAATAACAGTGGGTGACATGGCTGGTTTGAGTGCCCAGAGGAGAGGGATGGACACTTTTTGATTCCATGGCCACGTCCAAAAGATCCAGTTCCTGGAATGTGTTTGCCTGAGCCTTCCTTCTCTTTGCTTCTCTTCAAACCCCAGCCTATTGAAACTAGCCACTGAAACTTGTGCCCTTTTTGTCCCCAGGTGTGAAGAGGAGGTGGCCCTCATGGCCACTGCTGAGAATGAATTTGTGGCCCTGAAGAAGGTGAGTGGCCCCAGAATACACATCCCACAACTCAGAACCGTGGACAGAGGTGGAGGGAGCACTCTGTGATTCAGTGAAGCTAAGTGACTTCCCCGGAATCACACAGCCCAACTTCTCCCCTATTTTTCTCCAAATGTCCCAGTGCTCCCTGGGTGGCCCTGGACATCAGAGCACAGTGCTTCAAGCAGGGCAATCTTCCACCATCCAAGCTAACTCCCATCTGCCCAATGGCTTCTCACCTCCTCCTGCTCTGAGCCTGGCAGAAAACAGGCACTGCATAAATTTTTGTGAACAGAACAGCACCTGAATGCTTGGGGACGGCTCCATCCTTGGCCAGCAACGGTTGGGAAATGCTGGCATGAACAGAGCTGTCGCTCCTCACCTCTTAGGACTTGACTCAGCAACACCGCCCTCTGTACTCTGAGCCACACACCAAGCAAGGGTCTCGCCCTGAATCACACTGGTTTTGGAGCAGAGCTGATCCCTGGGATGACTTCTGACCACACATCTCTAGAATTCTTTCCATAACACTCCAGAGCAGGGAGAGGTGGATCATCATTAGAACCGAGCTATTTTACATCAGATCCTAAGTTTCATGATAGTACCTTCTAGAGGGATCATCCTAGTACCAAGGGGAATGCCTGGAAACATCGGGACCCCCTCTCTCACCCAGACCTGCTCTTGACCCCTCAAAATGAGTAAAGGACTTCACTAAGACCATGACACCAGGCACCAGAATGAGCAGCTAAGGAGGGTCCAGGGAGTGCGCCCTCCCTGGTGGGGAGAGCTCTGTCTTGTCTCCCCACTAAGACTCTTGCTCCTCCCTCTCCCTTTAGGATGTGGATTGCGCCTACCTCCTTAAGTCAGAGCTGGAGGCCAACGTGGAGGCCCTGACCCAGGAGACTGACTTCCTGCGGCAGATGTATGAGGAGGTGAGGGGTCACAAAGCAGCTGGGCAGCAAGGAGGATGGCAGCTAGACATTGGAATGTACTTGCCACCATTTGGCTCCTGAAACGCTTGGTTTGGGGACACAGGGCAGAGTTGAGGGACCCCAGGCAGGTCTACTGTCAGAAGGTGAAAGGCATAGCTTCGTGTCTTATCTGCGAAGCCCAGACAAGCTGGTACTCCCAGTTAGTGTGGTGACAATGATCACAAATTTTAAGTTCTAGTCCTAGATCCAAAGGATCAAGACAGGAGGCCCTGACTGAAGTCAGGTAAGCAGGCCTCAGAGCTGGACTCCTCTCAGCCTCAGGACTCTGGTCCTGAGGAGCCCTGAGAGGTTCCGGGGTTGCAGGGGAGATGTCACCTTTGAATTGGGGTTTCAGACAGTGAGGCTGTGGAAGAAGCAGGGGCATGGGACAGGAAAGGAAGTGAGAAAGCAGGCTGCCTGGAGCGGGGCATGGTCCAAGGGGCTCTTAACACTCCCCCACTTCCCCTCAGGAGCTCCAAGTTCTCCACGCCCACATCTCAGACACCTCGGTCATCGTCAAGATGGACAACAGCCGGGACCTGAACATTGACGGCATTGTGGCTGAGATCCAGGCTCAGTATGACGACACTGCCGGTCGCAGCCGGGCCGAGGCTGAGTCCTGGTACCGCAGCAAGGTGAGTGGTCCAGCACTCCCTTCCCCGAACAGGGATGCTAAAATCTGAAAGCATTAGGGGGGTGGGGAGGGATGCTGAAAAAGCATTGACTTTTGCCTGGGTGGGCAAGGGAAGGACAGACAGCTCTCGGGATGGGGTGCAGATGTGCAAGCTGTGGAGTTCAGTCGGATGACACATCCTGTGTTTCCATGAGCATCTGTGCTTCCCCCCAGTGTGAGGAGATCAAGGCCACGGTGATCCAGCATGGGGAGACCCTGCACTGTCCCAAGGAGGAGATCAACGAGCTGAACTGCATGATCCAGAGGCTGACGGCCAAGGTCAAGAATGCCAATTGCCAGGTACAGGGTCTTGGCCCACCCCTCAATGTAGAAAGAGAACAGGGTTGGTCTGAGACAGGGAGATTGAATTCAGACACCTTGCCAAAGTGTGGGAAAAGGAGCAACGTGAAACTTTAAGCAAGTCCCCTCCATAGACAATGCTCTCCATTCCCCCTGAATGTGGATCGTGGGGGGAGGGCTATGGAGGAGAATGGGATGACCTGGTCTTTCACGGTCTCTGAGGCAGAAAGAAGCAAAGGAAATAGCACAGTCTGAGGGGCTGGAAACCTATGCTCTCAAACCAGCCCTGCCACTAGCTCATCCCGTGATTTAGGAGGCGGGGGGCCATTTCCCCTCTCTGGTCCATTGTTTCAGGCCAGTGATCACACACTGAGATGTCCCCAGAGATTAGTGAATGAGTGAAGCAGGCTATACCAAAGGCACTAGGGTTCGGTAAAGTGGAAAGCACAATGGGCAGAGCTCATCAGATCAAACTGCGACAGACCCTATGGAAAAGCAGGCCCAGTGTGGCCAGATCCTCTGATCTTTCAAGAGAGGCCAGGAATGTGGGTTTATACGTTAAATTTCAAAAAGTTAAGGACACTGTGCTGACATTCCCCAAGAGCACTAATTTGCAACCCGTGAGCTAACAAACCAGTAAGGGCCCTTCTTCTCCTGACAGTCAATGGCCAGTGGATACCTGGTCTCTGACCCTAAGTCCTAAAATAGGAGCCTTAATAACCTTACTCTCCGCCCCAGAACGCCAAGCTGGAGGCTGCAGTGACCCAGGCTGAGCAGCAGGGTGAAGCGGCCCTTAACGATTCCCACTGCAAGCTGGCAGAGCTGGAGGAGGCTCTGCAGAAGGCCAAGCAGGACATGGCCTGCCTGCTCAAGGAGTACCAGGAGGTGAGGAACTCCAAGCTGGGCCTGGACATTGAGATCGCCACCTAGAGACGCCTGCTGGAGGGCGAGGAGCAGAGGTGAGGACCACATCTGTGCAGAGGATGTCTCTTCACCCTCCAACCTGTGTTCAGAGCCAGGAACATGTCTGCATTTATTTACATCTAATTTGCATCAAGATTATTTGGAGGAGGGAATTTGCTGGTTCTGCTCTCCCCAACTAATTTTTGTCTCTTTCTTCTCCCCACAAGGTTGTGTGAAGGCATTGGTGCTCTGAATGTCTGTAAGTAATCTGTACTGTGGGTTCTGAAATAAGAACCTGGGGTTCCTGGTGGGCAAACTTTTTACCAAATGGCCAAATAGTAAATATTTTAGACTTGGTGGGTCACACAGTCTCTGCTCAACTGCTATGCTTGTTGTAATGTGAAAGCAGCCACAGCCATAGCAATACTTAATAGATGTGATTAGGTTTCAATATAACTTTATTTACAAAGACAGCAGGTCCTCAAGGGGCCACAGCTTAAGACCCTGAAAGGAAGGAGGGGGATGTGGCAGTGAATGATTATAATTACTTAAATAGCTGTTCCTGCCTATGGGGGAGGGCCTGGTCTAACAGTTTATCTAGGATTCTTGAGGTTGGACTACAGGAAATAGTGTCCAGGTATGATGGTGTTTGAGGGGGAAGGAGGAATAGAATGGAGGGAAGGGGCTCTGAGCAAGAGAAGAATGGGTGGGGGGACTCTGGCCAGCATGTAAGAGCCTCTGACGACGACCTTGCACGAAGACTGAGCCACATCCTCCTCGCCCCGCAGGTGTCAGCAGCCCCTACGGCGAGGTCATCTGCGGGGACCTCTGCATGTTGGGCTCCCGGCCGGTGACGGGCAGCGTCTGCAGCACCCCCTGCAGCAGAAACCTGGCGGTGGGCACCGGCCTGTGCGCGCCCTGCGGCCAGAGCAGTGGCAACAGCCTCCTGGTGCGCTTTGCATAGCGCCTTCCGCTTTGTAAATTCACCGCTCAGCAAACCAACCGTACCTGCCTCGGGCGGCGGCAGGGCTTGGAACTCTGGAACTAGCCGGCTTGACCTGCCCCAACGGCTACTTTCTCCTACATCTCTCCTCCCGCTAGTCTCTTCATTTCTTCTAGGGAGAGAGGCGGGCTACTCGCCTCACCCCCCAGAGTCAGAATGACCGGTTTCCTCCAGCCCTGGGCAAAGAGCCCATCCTGACTCGGGCTGCTCTGGGTACTTGGACGTCCATGGCTTCTAAGGGACAGACTGGCCCCAGGGCCCCTCCGGTGCCTCCTAAACCCTCCCACGGTGCCTGAGTTTGTGTCCCCGGGGTGGGGGGCCAACTTTATGCCCCCGCCTCCCTCCCACTCTCTCCCTTGTGCTTGGTTTCCGAGTTTCCAATTAAGCTCATGACTCGAATATAACGCTGAGAATCTCCTACACATGTGGACTGCCAGCTCCGTTTCTGCCCTCTTCCAAGGGAACAGAGGAACTGTTCTAAGCAAAGAGGGAGAGAGGGCTGTCTCTAAGGTACCCTGCCGCTAGGACCACACTGTACATCTTGAAGGGTGCCTGGGGGTGTCCTACAGCCCCCAAAATCCAGACACACGGAGGCATAAGGGGGAGCTGGGAGGGAAGTGAGAGGGGCTGCAGGGATGAGTGGTAGCCAGCAGGGGAAGGGTCTCATCACATGTGGCCGCTGAAAGACCAGTGGTCCACTTCCTCTCTTCCCTCACTCCACTCCCGCCTCAGTATATGAAAATTCCTGACCATGGGATCACATACACAGCCTTCACCTCTTCCCACAAACCAACACTCCCTAGATAGTCCCCTCCAACCCTGTCCCCACACCCACCACCACATCACCTCCAGGGAATCCCAGTCAGAGACCTCCTACCTCCTCTCCAGTACCCCAGATATGAGCTGCTGTTCATCAGAGGTGGATGCCCCCAAGCACAGACCCCCAAACACCCCCACACTCACAGACACACACACGTCAGAGACCCCAACATGTACAGACGTCCCATCAAGCAGAGCCTTAACATACAGATGTCCTCCCCGACCCCCACCCCATCAGGGATCCAGATCCACAGCCCGTCTCTGGGTGAGGGGGGTGAGACAGCCCCCTACCAGGGATCCGGACTCTGGGACCCCCTCACCCTAAAGTTCTCCCAAATGCACACAGACCTCCTCCCACTGCCGTCACTTCCACAGAACCCCAGAACCCCTCCGGGACCTCAGACACACACCACCCAGGGCCCAGAGCCTGGCCGACTTAGCACCAGGAAGGGCTGAATTGCCAGTTGGCTGGTCCACCCGAAACCCAGGCCCGGGACAGCTGAATGTTTGTGGTCTTCTCACCACTGAGGAATGTTCTCTGACAGCACAGGGCATTGGCAGGGGGAGGGGGTGTGCAAACAGCCCTCCCACCCCCTCAGCAGGAGAGGAGTCCAGTACCCACTTCCTGGCAGAACCAGAACTTCCAGGGCTTTCTGGCTTGTTCAGGAGAGGAGCTGGAATCAGCCCCAGCCTTGAGAGGGGCCACGGCCTCACTCTGGGTAAGAGCCAGTTTGCTTTGAGCAGCACCCCCATATGTCACCAGTGCATTCTCCCAGTTCTCTCTAGAGCCCCTCCCTCGCCATACCTTCCCCTTGGGGCCTAATGAAGCCAGGATACTAGGTGCCAGGCAGGGGTTCATCCAGGCCTCAGAAAGCAGCTGCTTTATTGGAAGCTATTCTTTTTTTTCAAACTATCTTGCAGTTCTTGGGATGAGGGGTGGGACCAGGGTTGGGGGTCCCCTTGTGACTATGAGAAGAGGGGGTATGTATCTCCCCACACCCAGGGCTCAATTGCGGATGCTCCTGCTGGTGGCAGATGTGGTCCTCATGGAGTGGGCCTTGAGGGTCCCAGGCCCTCCACTGCTGGAGAATCTCAGGGCGTTGTTGCCCATGGTTCCCCCAAAGGTCAGCCGGCTACCAGAGCCACCTGTGGAACTGACCACAGCTGAGAGAGAAAAGAAGAGGTCTCCATCAGTGTGAGGCCCACTACTTGAACCCCCAGCCTCCTGCCATAGCTGCCTGTTTCCCTCCCTCCACCCACCACCCTTCCCCCACCAACAGCCAGGGGCCAACCCAGAAGTAGCCTCAGACAGAGGTGAGGGCTGCTCCACATTGTCCCTGCCCCACCCTGCCCTCATGCATGGCTTTGCTGGGGTGTTGAGCCTGTCTGGATGGAATCTCCAGGCACCTGCTGAAAGCTGTTTAAGGGAAGGAGGCTCCGGGCCTCCATGAGGCCAGGTCTTCAGGCCAATGTGCCGGCAATCTAATAGACCCAGCCTAGTCTGGACACCACAGGTGATGGGCCGCAGCCAAGGACTTACAGATGTTCATGGCTCCCACTCCATCTCCGGTCAACCTGGGGGCAGAGGAGAGACCTGTGAGGGCTGCTCTCTCCTCAGCACTGGAGGAGGCACTCCTGTACCCCTCCATCCAGGCCACAAGCAGGACTCATGTTCATTCCTGTGTCCCCACACATCCAGCCTTCCTGCAGCCTTTTCAGTTCTGGCTACACAATCTTGGGAATGTCGCAGAGCCTCCATTTCCTCACTTGTCAATGTGGTCTTAGCCTGTCCCAACCTCACAGGGTTGTTTGTGAGGGTTAAACTCATAACTTAACCTAAAGCCCTGGGCACACAGGATTCTGTAAATGGTAGCTGCTCTTATTGTTTATGTAGATGGCTGCCTCCCTTAACCAGATCATAAAATCCTCAAAGAAGGCTGTGGCTTATTGATTCCTGCATCTCCAGTCACCAGCATGAGGTCTGGCACATGCTAATTACTTTATATGGGTTGAAATGGTTAATGAAGTGTAAGTGTTGACTGAGTGAATTCAGCTACAGTGGGAACTGCAAGGGGAAGGAGGAGGCAGCAGTGGCTTTACACAGCCTGGGGAGCTGAAACAGGTCTTGTACTGGAAATTAAAAATCTATCTGAGACAGATAGGTATGTTTGTCCTGTGACTCATAGCCCCATTGTCACCAAGCCCTTAGCCGTGAGGATGCATTTACATTGCAGGGAGGAGGGAAGGCCTCAATTTAGTGGAGCAAGTGAAAGAAGCCCAGCTGACCTCAGCAGCCCCAAGTCCTGGAAGGGGATAGAGCAAAGGGCAAGGGCAAGAGAGGTAGACACTAGGAAGCTTCCAGGCCCAGGCCCCTTATCTGTTGACAAAACGAGTCAATCAAGCCATCAAGGTGTGAATCAAGACCCAACTTTATGGACATAGGTTTTGAGTCTTTTGTGAAGAATTTCCTGTAAGACTAACCCAGCCCAGCTTCATCGCAGGCTGCAGGTAAGCATGCAAATCTCTCTGGGGACAGTGGAAATTTACCTCCTCACCATGCTCAGTCAACACCACATGACTTAGCCCTCAGTTATGTATTGAGAAGCAGACCATTGCCAAGGAAGATGGTTGCACCAGGAATCAGCAGAGCTCAGTTGCATACTGGCTCTGTCCCCTCAGTTAATAAAACTAACTAGTTTCCCCTCTGTACACTCAGAAGTCAATAATACCTGTCTTGCTTACCTGATCTGTTCTGAGAATCAGATAAGATGACCTTGTCAACACACAAAAATGCTGTTATTACTTCAAATTTCCCACTGAGCTTATACCACAAGGTCTTTCCCTCCAGAAAGCCATCTCATCAAGGGCAAAGAAGCAAGCATTATCTGTACCCTCCCTGCACTTCCCATCCTCAGTGCCCTGCAGAAGGAGGGATATGGGAAATGCTTGCAGGTGGATGGGTGTCAAGCTGCAAGCCCCACTGAGCCAGCCTGGGTGTCCTCACCGGCTCTCCTCGCCCTCCAGCAGCTTGCGGTAGGTGGCAATCTCGATGTCCAGGGCCAGCTTGATATTCATGAGCTCCTGGTACTCCCGGAGCTGCCTGGTCATGTCCTGCTTGGCCTTCTGCAGAGCGGCCTCCAGATCCTCCTGCTTGGCGCGGGCATCCTTGACAGCCAGTTCCCCACGCTGTTCAGCATCAGCAATGGCAGCTTCCAACTTGGCGCGCTGTGGGAAGGAGCGGAGCTCTGAATCGGGGTCTCAGGCCTCATCAGTCACTGCCTTCCTGCCTCCCCCTCCTGCAGTGAGCACCTGGGCAACTTGCTTACTGTGACTTCACTGGTACCAGCCTCCTCCCCCAAGCACCAGGGACTCCCGAGGGTTTAAAACATGGGCTTTGAGGGACTTCCCTGGTGGTCCAGTGGTTAAGAATCCACAGTGCAGAGGACACAGGCTCCCTCCCTGGTCTGGGAAGATCCCACACACCAAGGGGCAACTAAGCCAGTGTGCCAAGTCTGCTGAACCCGTGCACCCTAGAGCCTGTTCTCTGCAACAAGAGAAACCACAGCAGTGAGAAGTCTGCACATCACCACTAGAGATTAGCCCTTGCTTGTCGCAACTAGAGAAAGCTTGCGTGCAGCAACTAAGACCCAGCGCAGCCAGTAATTAATTAATTTTAAAAACATGGGCTTTGATACCCAATGCCTAGCTTTCAGTTCTGGCTCTGCCACTTACAAGCCATGTGATCTTGCATGAATCAACCCTTCTAAGCCAAAAGTCTCCTCTTTTCTAAAATAACAGTAATCATGGCATATAAATATAGATGGGAATAGCTCAAGTAATGAAATAATACACAAGTCCTTGGCACAGTGTCTGGTAGTCAGCAAGCATTTAATAAATGCTATTATGAGTAAATGTGATTATGATTTATAAATGCTCACATACCCAACCCCTAGCTGGAGGAGCTCCAAGGCCATGGGATTCTAGTGTAGTACTCAAATTTCAGGAAGCTGACCAGGCACCTTTCAGGTACCTTGAAAACAGGAGCCATTTTGCAACAGGCCCAGAACAGGGAGACTTGGAGCACCCCTAGATTCCAAGCCAACAGCCCCCCAGGTGCAGGTAGGCGTGGTGTGATTCAGAGGGACCTAAGCAACAGCTGTCACTTCCTGCCTGGCCTTAGTGTTCCCTCTCCTGTGGCCGATCCCCCACTAGAGGAGCCTATATAGTGTTGTGTGTGTGTGTGTGTGTGTGTGTGTATGCTCAGCGGTGTCTGACTCTTTGCGACCCCATGGACTATAGTCTGCCAGGCTCCTCTGTCCATGGGATTCTCCAGGCAAGACTACTGGAGTGAGTTGCCATTTCCTGCAGGGGACCTTCCCAACCCAGGAGTGGAACCTTCGTCTCCTACATTGACAGGTGGATTCTTTACTATTGCACCACCTGAGAAGCCTGAGCCGCCCCTTATTCAGTTCCAAGGGCCACCATCCCAGCCCCTCTCAGGGCTCCTCCTCATTCCTTCTCACAACCACCTTCTGCCCTCAGATCCTCTCCCCTCAGCACATGCACTCTGCCTCTCTGCCCGATCCTCCCAGTCCTGCCCTGGAGGCTGGTGGATGCCCTTGCCCCCATCCACTGGTCAGCATCCTCCCCTGTCACATTGGTGCCCCCTTGGCAGGGTCATGCCACTGCCTCTGAGCCACAGCTTCAGGGCCTGAGCCTGCCCTGCTGTGTGAGAAGAGAACTGGATGTGGGAGAAGCTATGGGGTTCGGGAAACTGCCACTCATGGCTCTGTGCCTCCCCTCCTGGCCTGGATGCTGGCTCACTGCACCAGTGACTCATGGCTCCGAATCTGTGCCAGGAGGAAGCCTCCATTCTAGCCCACATGTAAACAGGCCTGCAGGGCTCCAAGGGGAGGACATTTCTGGGTAGATCGCCCTCACATCCTATCCCCCGGCTGTCATCCATCAGCTTCTTTCCCTTCCCACTGCAGATGCTTGCTGAAGCTTAGCTGCCTCCCCCACTTCCATGCCTTTGTCAGATCTTAGGGGACCTTTTCTCATCAGTGCCCCCCACCCCAGCTTCACAGGATCTCCTCCCAACAGTCTGTCATCTGAGACTTGTGCCCTACTATGTGTCAAGTGCTGGGAAGGGAGGAGCAGTGAACCAGATGGAAGGGGGGGCCAGCCCTTACGGCACTTTTAATATCCCAGTGGAGGCAGGGGACAATATTTACTTACACTTAATTAATAAGACTTACCTAGTAAGTCATTGGACTTCCCTGGAAGCTCAGACAGAAAGAATCTGCCTGCAATGCAGGAGACCCGGGTTTGATTCCTGGGTCAGGAATATCTGCTGAAGAAGAGAATGGCTACCCACTCCAGTATAAGACAGAACGTTTCAGAGGGCATTAAGTGTTTCAGGGATCTTCCCGCAGACTGCTGAGAAAGTGGCTAGGTGGCTGAGGAAGCCATCTCTGAGAAGAGGTCTTTTGTCCTCAACAAAAGAGATGAGAAAGGGGCACGATGTGCAGGGCTGGGAGAACCACATTCCAGGTGGAGGGAACACCGAGTGCAAAGGCCCTGAAGCATGAAGATGCTTGGCAAACATCATCTCCAGGAAGCGGCAAGGGCATGGCCAGAGAGGGAGCGGTGGGTAGTGAGGTCAGTGGATATGGCGGGGCCTTGGGAGTTACAGTGATTTGGCCCCAGACCCCATGGCCCCCCATCCCCAGGTATACATTGCACCCAGAGCTAGGTGCAAGAACAGGGCTCAGTACCGATGCGGTAATGAATGGTTGTTCTTGTCTGGCCAGCAGCCTGAGGCTCCCTCCACAAGCTCTATTCTCTGCTAGGACTCCTGTTCTCCCTTCAGCCAAACCAGCACCTGGCCAAGAACATTTCGTCCTGGAGAGCTCACAGGTGGGTCTGAGAGACTAGAGCGGCCCCAGCCTCATCCCCAGGACAGCAGGGGCAGGATTGATGCCCCTGCCTCCTGCTTCTCATCCTGAGGATGGTGCCAGCTGTCTGCCCTTCACCTGCCCCAAGGACAAGAACTGGTGCCCACCTGGTTCTTGATGCTGTCGATCTCAGCCTGCAGCCTCTGGACAGCCCGGTTCATGTCCGCGATCTCATTCCGGGTATTCCGGAGGTCGTCCCCATGCTTCCCAGACTGGGCCTGGAGGGTCTCAAACTGGAGGGGCCACACAGAAGGGTATGGCAGGGGTGGGCTGTGATTACAGGGGGCTCGTCTTCTCCCCACCTAAAGAAGGCCCCAGGTTCTGAGTGACAAGCCCTCCCAGCTTATCTTGCCGGGGAGGGACAGTCTGACTCCAGCAAGTTTTGCCCGATACCAGAGGCCAGACTCCTGGGCAGTGGGGTGGAGCAGGGGCTCAGCTTCCTCCCAGCCAGGACAGGGAAGACAAGGATGGCTCCCCGGACCCGTCCCCACGGATCCCAGTGCTCTTCCCGTTTCCATCATGTCCTAATGCTGGAGAACCACAGGAAGTCTGAGATCCTTACCTGCTAACCACTTCATCAGCATCACCCATCTCACAGATGAAGAGAATGAGTCCCAGAGAGTGGAAGGGACTGTATGAGCTGTCCTTATTGACATACCTGTGTTCTCACGTGCACCACAAATGACCCCCTATTTCTGCAGAGACATCACTCTGTACCGCTTTTAAACCCTCAGGCTCCCTCCCTCAGTTACCCCAGCACCCCCCACCCCACCAACCCTGTCATTCCCTCAGCACCTGCCCTCACCCTGTGCATATAATGATTAAACCTAATCTGGAGCCCTTGGATTCAGAATCTGGTCTCTGCTCTTCCATTCACTACCCGTATGGAGCTAGAAAAATCACTTAGCCTCTCCATGCCTTAGTTTCCCCACCTGTGAAAAGGGGATAATATTGCCTACCTAACGGGCTGTTCTGTGGGTTATATGAGTCAATACAGGTAAAACATTTGAAATGTTGCCTAGCACTGTGCTTACTCGCCAAATTTCAGCTATAATAATTATTACTCCAAGTCCATTTCCTCTGCCCTGCCCCCTACATCAGGCTGGAATCCCTCCCTGGGCAGGGGCCTGGCCTTCCCTTTCTCTTCTTCCCAGGACACTGGAGACCCCCACAGACTTAATCCTGGTGCCTGTCAGCACAGTGAGACACAAGCCCCAGAGGCTTGAGACAGGGTGAGGAGTAAGGGAAGCCACCACCCAGGACCCTGCCAGGAAGAGAAAATATGGCTCCAGTGACTACACACCTTGGTCTGGTACCAGGCCTCAGCCTCGGCCCTGCTGCGGTTGGCGATCTCCTCGTACTGGGCCTTCACTTCAGCAATGATGCTGTCCAAGTCCAGGGAGCGGTTGTTGTCCATGGACAGGACCACGGACATGTCTGAGACCTCAGACTGCAGCTCTTTCAGCTCCTGTAGGGACAGACAGAGCATCAGGGCTTGGGTGACACATTCCTGTCCCCATGCCCAGCCTGGGATCCCCTGCACTAGGGAAAGATAAAGAGAAAGGAGGCCAGAGCGGGAGCAAGTCACCAGGCAGCCAGAGGGCACAACAGACCCAGCACCTACGAAAGGGCTGTGCCAGCCCCGGCTCCCGGAAGAGCCCATCAGCAAGTTGTCAAATCAAAGAGTCTGGTGGGATCACAGAGGAAAAACCAGAGACAGAGTGTGGTGAACGGCGGTGGCTCCTGGCTATGATTTGCTGCGCGTGTTGGCCTCTATTATGAAGAGGATCACTAGGGGGTGGGTAAAAAAAAGTCATATTACACCCTATTATGGACGGAACACTCGGCAGCCTTTAACACTGATGATACAGCCATATTTATGGACAGGAAACTATATCCATGATATACAGTTATGTAAAAAAGGTATGATTCTATTTTATTAAATATGTATATTTCTGTATCTTTCTGTATATATATATATACAGAAAGAGCCTGAAAAGGTAGCTATCAAGATGATAAGAGCAGGTATAGGAAGGTTGTTTTCAATTTTATGCTTTACCTAATTTTCTAGATTTTTTGCAATGAGTATGTACTTCATAACAAGAGGAGAATATACATACACACACACACATATATGACATGTGATAGACATATAAAGGCCCACAATGAGACTAGGAGGGCCCAAAATAAGCTTCAAGGATCCAGCCCCTGAAATTAACACACATGGAAATTCTCTCAGAGATGCAAATGGAAGCTGAATGTTCAGGTAAAAACGAAACTGAAGAGAAGTGAGAACCGGTCTGTAATTTGCCTCTTGTGTAACTATGTCTCAGACCAGCCAGATGATCAGCTATACTATCTTTTGCCTAAGGCCAGAGCCTCACACTGATGGGATGAAGAGGTTTTTAATCCCCTTCAGGGAAAGGATCTGGAAGCTCAGGGCAGGGCAAGGGAGAGCAGGAAAGGAGATGGGAGGGGCAGGCAGAGAGAGAGGCTGGGTAGTAGGCATAAACCCTCAGGCACTCCAGTCTCTCCTGAACTGGCTCCCCTGCCAGCCCACCCAGCCCACCCGTGAACCCTGTCACAGCCCAGATCCCTCAACATCCTCCTGGTTTCTTCCAGCCCCTCCCAATCCCCCTTCCTGACAAATGGTCAACCCATGTCTCTAAGAAGGTCAATTTTGACTGACACACCCCACCCCCCCACCCTCACCCCCTCCTGCTACACTGCCTCAGCTCCTCCTGAGCTCCTTGCCCACCACAGATTCCTGTATCTAGAAAAAATAAAGAGCAGGGTCATCTCCCCTACATGCACCCAACACACACCCAGACTGACCCAGAGGCAGGGGGTGGACCAGATGGCCCCCTGGCTGGGACATGTAGGATGTGGCATATTTCCCATCCCTGAGGTCTTCACCTGCTCATAGAGGGTCCTAAGGAAGTTGATCTCGTCATTCAGGATATCCACCTTGGCCTCCAACTCCACCTTGTTCATGTAGGCAACATCCACATCCTGGGAGGGGTGGTGGCAAGAAGGGGTAGATGGATAGCATGTTATCATACGTGAAACATTTGGCAGCCCAGTACTGTCCAACCCCAGGACCAAACCCCACTGTCCTACCAAAAAACATACAGCAGATCCATGCTGCCTGACACATCCACAGCGGGAAGTTCCCTCCAGTGGACCCGCCCAGGCAGTGAGATGGACGTTATCTCCACTCATCCCCAGGACTGGAGTGCCTTCTCAGCACTGACAGCCCAGAGCATTCTGAAGCCCCAAACCTAGCGCTTTACCAGTTCCTAAAGGCTTCAGTGGTTTAGACACACCCCTGGCTCTGCCCCCTAGTGGCTCTGTCACCTTGAACAAATCACCACAACTCCAGGAGCCTCAGCTTTTCATTAGTCAAATAGGAGAGCACGAAATCATGCAGACTTCAGGAGACCACACCCAGAGATGAGAAATCTCCAGCCCAAATGTGTAACTGGAAGCTTGGGTGATATTGAAGCAGGCAGGCCATAGATAACCCCACAAGTCCAGATGATGTCTGGGCCCCATCCTCTGCTGTGGGTTAACTCCTGTGGGGAGCGCTCACTTCCACTCATCCCTGAATCTCCAAAGGCCCAGCACTCCAGGGCAGATTACATTTCTGTGGATGGGCCTGGGACATGAGTAAGTGTACTTTAAATCATAGTCTTAAGTCAAGCCCTTATTCCTAAGGCCTTCCAAACTCAACTTGCACACCTCCAGGTATGGGAAGGCTCACTCTGCCTCAAGGCAGCCCATCCATTCATTCAGTATTTCAGGCCTGCCATGTGCAACCCTCATCTGTAACTGAACGTTCTAACTGATAGAACACTTACTTATTGTGGGGTTGAAATTGCCCTCTCTAACCTCCAACTTGTAGTCTTAATTCTAATCTTTCCCAAGCCCAGAAACAAGTCTACTGACTTGCCAGACACACACACACAAACACACCAACCACACACACACATGTGCACACACACACACACACACACACACACATACATGCACACAATGTTATAGCCTTATAAAGGGCCTGGCTTTCAGATCTCTCCTTCTCCAAGCCCATCATTTCCCTTTTATACACCCAGCCAGACTCTGACCACAGGTTCCTATTGGTTGCTTTGGTGAGAGGCATGTGGTCCCCCCGCCCCTCTGTTTCTATAGCATCCCCTACCCTCTGTGTCTGCCCCCCTCACCTTCTTCAACACCACGAACTCATTCTCAGCAGCTGTGCGACGGTTAATCTCATCTTCATACCTGCAGCAAAGAAGGGGAGCATGGTGTCGGTGCAGCCCTGCCTCCATTGCCCTGCATCGCCTTCACTCCCTCATTAATGACACCAGCTCAGCTGGTAAAGAATCTCAGCAATGCAGGAGACCCTGGTTCGATTCCTGGGTCAGGAAGAGCCACTGGAGAAGGGACAGACTACCCACTCCAGTGTTCTGGCCTGGAGAATTCCATGGACTATATAGCCCATGGGGTGGCAAAGAGTCGGACACAACTGAGCGACTTTCACTTTCACTTATGAAACAACGTGTCCCTGACTCGTCCATATGGCTATTCCTAGGACTTTGAGTCTTGGCAGGGGGTGGGGGAGCAGGGCACATATGTGAATTAAAGCACAGAGGCTGCATATTCTGGGAGTGAGAAGGCAGAGAACAGCCATGCTTATGAACCGCTTCGTATGGCCCTGCCCCATTACGTGCTTCCTCTGCATTCGCTAATTTAATGTCCACAGCAATCCTGTAACAATGGTGCTGTGACTCACAGGAAAAGGAACAGAGGCACTGAGAGGCAAAGTACTCTGCCTACTGATCAAGCTGCTAAGTGCAAAGCCCAGACTTAAAGCCTGGTCATCCGACCCTTGAGCTTAACCTGCTTAATCCCATTGGCTGAGGGTAAAGAAGGCGCCTGAAAAGGAGGAACCTTGTGGACTTAGGAAGAAGAACCAGGTCCCAAGTAGGTGGTGAGCCCCCATCCTTACTCTCACAGCCCCCCTCCCATCCTTCTTTCTCTCAAGGAGCCAGCCCCCTGCCCATAGGAGGACACAGCAAAGCACAGAGCAAGAAGGCAGGTGGGCCTGACCCAGTGTTTACTTGAGGATTCAAAATAGGTCTCGGAAACTGAAACTCAACAGTGCACACAAGCTTCTGGAGAACAACAGGGGCGATGTGGGGCAGCTTCAGTGGGGAGCAGGATGCTCGGGCAGGCAGAGGCCCTCCAGGAGTCCAGACCCCCAAAGTCCACTCCCCCTACCCCAGTCTCTATAATAGTTAGAAAAATATCTACAAGGCTGTCTGTCCATTCCTGCTATGCCACTAGGCCCAGAGGGCACACGAATGAGGGCTCCTGGGCAGCTGTATCAGGACCCCTCCCCACATCCCCTTCCAGCTCCTCCTTCAGCCTGGCCTGGAGCTCAGCCTGGCTCCCCAGGAAAGTGCTCTGGGGCTTTGGCTGGGGGGAGCATGTGTGCACACATGCACCCCTGACGGCAGGGGCTCACAGGCTGTCCCAGGCCTTCCCTGCCCTGCACCTGTCTGGTTCCACCTGGTGTGGGATTAATCCTGTTGACTGTTGCCCTGGGGAAGTTAGGGGAGGGGGGAAGGGACACTCCCTTCAGAGGCCTTTGTTTGTTCTACCTCCAGTCAGAGGATGTGGCCCTGCTCAGCTTAGTCATACACCCCCGGGGAAAGCACAGAGCTCACTCATTACCCACCCACTACCCCTGTGCCCACAGGGCAGGGATGCCCACTCAGCCTCTGGCTTTGGTTTCTATTCAGTGAGAACAGTGGGCACCTCAAACACCTGCCCTCAAAACCAGCCTCCACACTCCCTGCCCCTCCTCATAGCCTCTTTCTGGTTCCTGCTCTGGCCAGAACCCCCCATCCCCACCCCAACCACAGCCTCTGCAACCTCTCCCATCACTCACGGTGCTCATCCTCTCTGCTTCTTTCCTTCCCAAGTTGTCTCCATGTATGGCCCCAAAACAAGACCCAGCACTCCCAATGATCTACTCTGCAATCTCCATCAAGACCCTGAAACTTGATGGACTCTAATCTTCACAGGAACAAAATGCAGTTGTTCTAGAATAATCTGAGGGTCATACAAGTTCTGATGCACATCTGTCATAGGACACTTCTTGCCCTGCTGTCTCCTGGGCCCTGGTCAGGCTCCCAAAGGGGACAATATGGATCAGGAAAGGGTTGAGAGAGTTCTTTGGGAATGTCGGGAGAAAGGACCAGAATGACTTGGAAATGGCCCCCAGAGACAAAGAGAAGAAAGGGGTGGAGAGGCAGGGAACCTGTGAATCAAGACCTTCCTTCCCTTCAGGGAATTATTGTACTGAGCAGCAATACCCCCTGACCTCTGACCCCAGAAGGATTATGAGGGGGTGAGTTGAGAGGAGCACATTGGCCCAGGGCACGAATCCCCAGAGGTTGCACTGGGAGACCATACTTATTCTTGAAGTCTTCCACCACATCCTGCCTGTTCCGAAGCTCCACCTCCAGGCGACCCCCATCCAGCTGCAGGGCCTCCAGCTGCTTCCGCAGGCCAGCAATCTGGGCCTCAAAGATGCCTGGGAGGCGGTTGCTCTTGGCAGACTTCTGCTCCTGCAGCAGCGCCCACTTGGTCTCCAGCAGCTTGTTCTGCTGCTCCAGAAACCGCACCTAGAAGGAGCAGGAGGAGGAAACTCATGAAGGGCAGACTGCCACTCAGAGTGCAGTTGGGAGGGTCTGCAGCCACCTGGCAGAATCTGCACTCCCACTGGCTCTTCCCTCAAGCTGAGCCCCTAGCCCTTGACCCTCTCCTCCAGGAAGCCCACCCTGAACAAGCCCCTCCTCCAGGACTCTCTGTCTCCAGTGTGTCCAGGGCTCAGATCACTGACAAGTCCCAGTGCTTATGCTTTAGGGTCTTCTCCTTCCTCTGCTCCCCATCATACCACAGGTGATGGTCTCCACCTCCCTCTCGGAAGGGCTGCCTCCTTCCTATCTTCTCCTGAGCCTGACTTGGGCCCCCTCCCTTCAGGCTGGGACACTATCTCTTCCTCTGTCAATATCCTCCCTTCCCCTCTTCCCTCTGTCCAACAAGGCCTCAGGACAGGATGCTAGAATCAAGCCAGTGTAAAAGGAGCCCTAAGAAGCACCAGCATGACCGGTGGTGGGAAGCCAGCCTCCTCAAGACCAGCCACTCAGGCAGCAGGACCCGGGGGCTGCAGCTAAGTAGCAGGGGGAGGAAGCCTGAGCCTGGGGCTTCATGTGAAGGCTGCCCCAGAACCTGAAGGATGTGTATGGTCTGAAGGGTGAAGGAGAGGAGATGGGGGAACAGAGAAGAGGAGCAGTACACAGGCAGGAGAGGAAAAGCCTGCTCCAGGCCCAGGGAGGAGGCCCTGGCCCTGCTCCAGGGGACTAGCCCTTAGTTCCTGGGTCCAGTCCCCACAAGTCTGCACCCCCATCTTCATCCGCCACTCTTTGGGGGCCTGAACAACCAAGAAAAACACCTCCTAAATGGCCCTTCCCGGGGCCACTCAGTACCCCCAGTGGGCTCTCTCCAAGGGCAGGAAGAGCCGCACTTCCCACTACCAAACAGGATTGGAAGACCAGGTAGGTGGGGCAGCCAGGGCTGGGAGCCTCCCTCTCTCCAGCCCTTTATTTCCAGCAACTGCTAGAGAATAACTGGAAAGGACAGGTGGGAGGGTGAGGTTCTCAACCTACCCCATCTCCGACTCCACACAGCCCCCTCTCAGAGAAAAGGGTCCAGGGAAAGCAGTCCTGGCCCTGGCGTTTGGAGCTCGAAAACTGGGCACTAAAAGCGGCCCAAGAACTCCAGCTCACAGGACAGCCCCCGGCACACATTCCGGGAGGAAAAAGCAGGTTGATTTGGGTAGCTTGCCGGAAGAGAGGCTGAGGTTGGCAAAACAGCCACAGGATTCATGGGGAGGGTTCAGTCCCGGATATCGGAGGAAAGAGAGCCGGTACCAGCCCTCCCAGCGCCCGGCTCACGTGTGGCACGGCGGGGCGGCTGCGGGGCCTGGAGCCCGGCTGCTGGCAGTGAGGGAGCTCACCTTGTCGATGAAGGAGGCGAACTTGTTGTTGAGGGTCTTGATCTGCTCGCGCTCCTCCTGGCGCACCTGCTGGATGGCGGGGTCGATGTCCACCTGCAGCGGGGTCAGCAGGCTCTGATTGATGGTGACCGCTCGGATGCCGGTGTCCACCGGGGCGCCATAGGACGAGCGCGCGGCCACTCGAGGCCGAGAGGCGCCCAAGCCATAGAGGCTGCTGCTGCTGCCGAAGCCGCCGGGGCGCACGGAGCTCAGGCGCACCTGGGGGCCGCGGCCCGGGAAGGCGGCGGAGCGCGAGCTGAAGACCTGGGAGCCGAAGTGGAGCGACATGCTGAGCTGGGTCGGGATAGAACGAGCGGCTGTAGACAGGAGGCTGAACTCGCTGACCTCGGGCAACAGGGCCGCTTTTATCCGCTAGGCGCGAGCGGATCGGCTTACACAGGTCGGGGCGGGGCTGGCCGCGCGCCACCTTTTTCTGCCCGCTGGCCCCTCCCGGGACCGCGCTTCCGCCCTCCGCGCGGTCCACCTGGCCGAGGCTTTCGGTCCCAGCCCGGGCCAGTCCAGGCTGGGTAGGAGGGCTGTAGACACCCAGACCCCTTGATGCAGGCGAATGCAAAAAGCGGTGGAAGACAGCGGGCCCAGTCCATCTGAGAGTCAGGGAAGCCTTCCTGGAGGAGGCTTGGGGAAGACGTGAAGAATATCCAGATTTCTGACAGCAGAAAGATCAAGCGGTAAAAGATTGAGCTAAGAGGTGAACAAAATGTTCTAGTGCAGGAATCAGCATCCCCCTCGCCAACCCCGGTCCCCTCCCCAGGCTACTGAAAGCCAGAAAATCATTCCCACCCAAGTTCACCCCAACTTGAGAGATCAATCAGCTCAGTTCTTGAGTCAGCTAACCCTCTGGCAGGTGGGCCTGCCAGAGCTGGTTTCCCTGGCCACAGGCCCCCACACCTCATTTCTATACAGAGACTAGGCCAAGTGGGGCGGGACCCCACTTCTTGCCCCTCTCCTCCCCACCCTGGAGCCATCTGAAGCCCAGAGGCCGCTGATAATAGTTACCCTGGGCCTGCCGTTCCCCCCACTCCCAAATCACATTCCTGTCCACTTACTTCATTTGTCTCAGGAGAAGGGGACACCTGTGTGTGTTTGAGACACTTGGCACTAATGTTTTGTGTGTGCCTGCCTGCAGGTTCCTGGGCTTAGTTGTATACACATTCTAGGCATTTGTGTTTACATATGTGTTTGCATGATTGGGAATGAACTTTTACAAACTGGAGTCTATTTGGGGGGAGCAGGTGGACAGGTGCATCTGTGGATACACACTTGCACACTTTTGTAAGCACATCTGTGCAATGTGCTTGTATTTGCACTCAGACACTCCTGCCTATTCCCCACCCCTGCCACTTTGCTATTTAAAGGTCCCCAGCTCTCATCATCTCCACCAGCTGAAGCCACCACCAGCAGTTTCAAACCCACCCAAGATGGGGATAAATGTCCTGGAACAAGGAAGGCTGGACCCAGGTGCTCAGCACTGGCCTCCTTCTTAGTCTCCTCCAGCCACACGTGCCACACCCTCTGCATGGCTCTGCTGCCCTTTTAGCTCTGCTAGAGAGGCAGCCAGAGAAGCCTTTGGAAAGGACAACTGACAGGACTGTTGTCATCTTTAGGCCACTTCTAGCCCCACAGGCCAAGTTGTCACTTCAGACCAAGCCCTTGGGGGCATCCTGGGTGGAGGAGGGTGGGCGTGGAATGCCCTTCCTGGTTTTCATTTCAATTAGACAAGGAGGACTAACCAGCAGCAACCCTTTCTCAGTCATCTCAGTGGAGACCCAGGCCCCTTCCCCTCCCTCTCCTCCATACTGGTGTTGGGACAGCTCAGGTCAAGGGATGCCCAAGGAGACCTTCAGTGTATCTGCTGCAGGGTGTGTGTGTGAGAAAGAGAGAGAGACAGAGACACTCACATACATATATGCATATATACATACACGCACATACACATTCATACAAACATTCACCTACATGCACATCATGTCACTTACAGACACACATACACACACATATCATATCACTCACATGAGGACATGCACATACACACATATATACCACATCACACACTCACACACTCTAAAGTCCTTATCCCTCAGTGTTCATTCTCAAATCTTTTCCCCACTACCTCCCACCCCAGGCCCCTAGCCCTCCACCTCCTAAACCCACCCAAGTTCCACAGCTGGCCCCTTCTCCCCCACAGATGCAGCTCCCCCTTCCCAGGATCTGCCCTCTGGAGTCTATGACCCACCCATGCCAGGAATTCCTCCCCCTATACCCCACACCCCCACTTCTTTCCTGGCCCAGGAAATCTCTGGCTGCGCAACGCTGGTGACCCTGAACAAGTCACTGCCCCACCCTGGGCCACAGCGTCTTCACCAGAGGTGAAACCCGCAGGTTAATGGGGAGAGGGAGCTGGGAGGACACAACAAAGGAGAAACGGCCTGTGGGCTTTTCAGGCCCAGGACGCAGCCTGGCTTCTGGCCACATTTCCCCATTCCAGACCTGCCCTGGACCCGCCCCTCAGCTCCCCATCTCCTCCCTCACGTGTTCTGGCTGCTCCAGCCCTCCCCAGTCTCCTCCTGTCCCTCCATTCCCAGGCCAGCACCATGAGCCCAGTGGGTGCCCGGCTGCCCACACAGTCACCTTCTGGAGGGCTTCACATGGAGCTGTTGACACTGAGAGGCCAAGGGTCAAATTCCTGCCCCACAAGAGTGCCCCACCCAGGGGTTCCCACCAGCCGATCCGTCCCCCACCAGCCAATGCCTCTGCTGGCCTCACAGAGACCCCCTTAGGAGATTCTGGGTAGAATCTTGAGATGAATTAATTTCCAAAACCTTTCCCAGTTGTTCCTCCCCACCCCAGAGGCTCGCTTCATCTCTGTAGCGTTCTGGCACACACACACTCACACACACACGCACACGCACACACGCCATGCACATCACTTGTCCTCTCACTGCCCACCTGACCTCCCCTGCACCTCTGGACCCAGCTTGGAACAAGCAAGCCGCCCCAGGTCCACAGTCCCACTTGGCCTCACCAAACCTGCCCAGAAACCGCAGTCCCACAGCCCTCAAAGGTGGAACAGACTGGAGCTCTGTGAGAAGTAGAGTAGACATTCTTTCTGCCTCCATTACTCATTGTCCATCCCCTCCAAATACCTTCTTAGATTGCTAAAGAAAACAAATGTTTAAGGCATAATTTGTTTTCATTATCTTGGAATTCCAATGATTGCAGTCATAACAAAAGCCATCTGACATTTCCACATGCAATGTAATACTTTAAAAATAAAGCCAAAACAATTTTTTAAAATAAAATCAATTGACGAAACACATATATGGCAGCCAACTTTCCAAAAGAAGACAAATCCATAAGGAAAAGAAAAGTGAATCAAGCACGGATTGTATCAGCCAGTGCTTACCTCATGCTTACTTTATCTGCGCCCAGCTCTGTTTTAAGCACTTTGCATAGTGTATGTTATTATCTCATTTTAAGAGTGGTAAAGCAAATGAATTTGAGTAAATGGCCCATGGTCACACAGCTAGAATGCAGAAAAGCCAGGATTTGAACCTTGGCAGTTTGAACTGCTGGATTACTTCTAAAAAAGAAGAGAAAGAAACAAAATCAAATACTAAACATGAAAAAAAAATGTTCAACTTCACTCAAATTAAAGAAACACAACTAGAATAGCAATAAAAAGCCATTTGTACCTGTTAGGTCATCAAATGACTGAATCATTTGCTAACAGTGTTAGGGAATGTGTGGGTAACAAAACTTTGTCCTTTATTGGTGCATCCTCTTTAGAGGGTAAGTTGGCGACAGCTCTCAAAATTAAAGGCATTTCCTTTACCTCCATAAACAAAACAAGTGAAATGAATATGCTTGTCCTTGGCCAGGCACATTCACTGCCAGGAACTTATCCTACAGATGTTCTCACCAGAAGTGCGCACACACACACACACACACACACACATGGTCTCTGTTGCTATTATTTTTTATATCAGCAAGACACAGGGAACAATATAAATGCCCATCAGTTGGATCTGATTCAATGCATTGAGCTGCACACATTCAGAGAAATGCTATCTATTGAAAAGAATAAAAGCCTTTATACACTTATTGAAATTTTACCTTTATATATTGATCATACAAATCACTGTGATTTTTTTTAAAACTCTCAGGAGGCTCATGCCATCAGCTATACCACATCCACCCTCTATCCTGTGACTGGTCTCAGCGGGCCCCACAGTCACCTCCTGATCCCCTGGCCACTCCCTCACATGCACCAGCGACTCTGGATCCGGGTTCTGGATGCTCCTCTCCCCTCCCCCCCCCCGGCTACCTCATCTCCAGGCCTATGACCCACTCAGTGTCTTAGCCTGATCCAGGCTCCCCAGTTCCAGAGCCTTCCACGTCCATCCTTTTTCTCTTGTCTCTGCCTGTGTCCGTCTCTGGAACCTCAAACTCGGACCTCACACCACAGGACCGGTCATAACTCTGCCCGTGTCAGCAGGTGGACCCTTCAGCCACAGCAGCATCTCCAGTCCTGAATCCAATTACTCCATCTTCCACCCCCTAACCTCCCTTAGGGACCCTGGTGGCTCAGATGGTACAGAATCTGCCTGCAATGTGGAAGACCCAGGTTTGGTCCCTGGGTCAGGAAGGTCCCCTGGAGAAAGGGAATGGCTACCCACTCCAGTATTCTTGCCTGGAGAATCCCATGGACAGAGGAGCCTGGCGGGCTACAGTCCATGGGGTTGAAAAGAGTCAGTCATGACTTAACCACTAACACTGTCACTTTCTCCATCTCTAGGTCAGTCTATACCCTGGATGTGTGCCCACCTCTTCCCTGGCAGGAAGCTCTTCTTCTTTGCAAAGCTTTCCCCAGTTCCCAAAATGAGACTGCAAGTGTTGAGAGACGAGACAAGATGGAGCAGACTGATAAAGCAGAATCATCTTGGTAGGTAACGCTTGTCAAACCACCGGTGACCAATTCCAAGGTGACTGTCTGAGCTGACTGTACTGTTTCTGCATGTAACCCCCTCACTCTGTCAATAAAGTTCTTACCCCATGATTGTGGGGGAGGGAGGAGGAAGTCAGCCTTTAGACAGGCATCTGCCCTCCCCATCCCCAGGTTGTAGACATCCAAAATAAAGCAAACTTTCGATTCCACCCACCTGAATTCTTTATTGGCTTTTGAATGGCGAGAAGCCAGACCCCCACTTTCAGTAATAAGAGGGATCTTCACCGTGTGCTTGGCCTGTAGAGTGTAGGACTGCATAGACACCTGTGGACTTTAGGCATGGCTCCCATGGGTCTTGGGAGAGTCACGTCTCTCATTCCTTTATCTGCTGATTTAGACATTTAGAGAATGTTGACTCTGTGTAGCAATGCGGTATTTCCAGGGTGAGAAATGAGTCTCAGAGAGGGTAAAGTGACTCACACAAAGATAGATGGCTTACAAAAATGGCAGAGATGCAACAAAAATCCAGGCACCTTAACTTCTAGGTTAAGAAGACCTAGACTAGAGATCTCCCTACCAAGCCACCCCTCTAGTGGTTTCCAATCTGGGATCACCTAACTCTCATCAGAGTCCGATTTTCTAACCTCGAGAATACTGAATCCCCCAGAGGGCTACCAGATCATCTCCTTCTGCAAGCAAGAACATGTAAGTACACAGGTAGCCACCTTCATTTATAGCATATAGTCTTCACTTGTCACCCTGAGGCCTCAAGAGTTATCTACATACCATTCCCTAGCCCTTTCCCTGAGAAAAATTCCTTAGTCATTTGTAGAAAATGAACAGTTATGCTAAGAAAGAAAAGGAAAGTCAAGGGGACTTCCCTGGTGGTCCAGTGGCTAAGATTCTGAGCTCCCAATGCAGAGGCCTGCATGCCATGACAAAGATTGGATCTAAGATCCTATGTGCTGTAACTAGGACCCGGCGCAGCCTAATTAATTAATTAATAATAAATAAAAATAAGTATTAAAAAAGGGTGAATCAAGACAGGAAAGTTTTCTCCAAAAATATTGCAGATGGTATCAGCTTGCACCTTTGATCACTGTTAATTTTTCAGAGTTTCTTACTTCATTGTCTTTAATTATAAAGGCTGTTAATCAATACATCCTACTTGGTAAAAACAACTCAAAAACTCAAGAAGCACATAGAAAGAAAGATGAACATCCTCTCTTCACTTCCCTAAATCTCACTCCCTGACCTGTCCCTGTAGGTCACTACAATAGTAGCTGTCCTTCCAGTTATTTTCTTTTTTAAATTCATTTTTCTCCTCCCTGGTGTTTGGATTTTTTTTCTATGTATCTCAAGTTTATTAGTAATTAGATTTCAACTTACATTTTAGTATCTCTTCATTTTTAAATTAATTAATTGATTATATTTATTTTTGGCAGCACTGAGTCTTCGTTGCTACATGTAGGCTTTCTTTAGATACAGTCTGCAGGCTTCTAATTGAGGTGACTTCTCTTATTGCAGAGCACAGGCTCTAGGGCACACAGGCTTCAGTATTTGTGGCTCATGGTCTCTAGAGCACAGGCTCAGTAGTTGTGGCATATGGGCTTAGATGCCCCATGGCATGTGGAATCTTCCTGGACCAGGGATCCAACCCATATCCCCCATATTGGCAGGTGGACCACCAACCACTGGACCGCCAGGGAAGTCCAAGGTTTCAATTTATATTTGAACCCATACTTCCCTATCAACATACCAAAATTATATCGTTATATGATACCCTCAACTTAGTGCACACCTGTTGTGCTTTCTATCCCCTCTTTCCTCTCAACTCCATCAGTCTCTCCATCCCATATCCTGGACTTGGATAAAAATAATCTGACATTTTAATTTCAACCTACTAGTGAGGATTTTCCCTCTGTCTTCTATTTCAAAGATCTTTTCTGGTTTATAACATAGTTAAAAGTCAGTTTATCACCATCCATTTATTTGCTATAGATTTTACTAGATTCGTTGCTCTCCACTGCTTGACATGCTCTTTGTTTTCTCTTGAGATGTCTCTGTTTTCATTCAAATTTAACTTTCATTTGTCTTAACCACCTTCTTTACTAGGTTCCTGGGAAAGGGATCATGGATCTTGCAGATCTGGAAATATCTGCCTTCCGTTCTCACACTTAAACAACATTTTGGCCAAGATTCTTTTTCCCTGGAAGCTGGGAGTCTTTTCCAAGGCCCTGGGGCTTGCCAAGTTGCAGGTACTAGTACAATTCTCTT